GTTAATCAAACAGCGACAAAGTTTCACCAAAAATTTACTAACAGGAATGCTTTTTACTCGAATTGGTCATTCAAAACAAGATATATTCAATAATAACAAGTTGGGTATGGGACTCAAATCTATCTTCCACATCTGCGAAGCGGTTTCTTGAAAGAAGATATGGGCACTTGTTTCCATGAGACCACCTACAAATAGGGGTACCTGCACAACCACACTAGGTGCTAGGGTGGCGCAGTGGTGAGTGTCTTGGTTGCGGGTGTGCGATGCAGGTTCAATTCATGTTGTTAGCAGACATTTTGTCATTTACTGTTATTGCTAGGGAAAGCTTTATTAACTTGTTGATTTATCGTCCAAAGTCAAGCTAAAGCAATGATTAGATGTTAATTTGAAATTATTTACCCCATGAACATATGTGATAGTCGTTTATAAAGAGCTAAAACATGATAGCTGCTTACAGTCAGGGCATCGAAGGAGATGTTCTTCGTTGCAATTGTTTGCACTGCAACATTCTAAAAGATTTGGAGGAAAGCAAAATTGAACAGTAGTTTGGAAAGATAAATGCTCTTATCATGATATAAATATTCATGACTATCATGTCAAATTAAGTTTTTTTTTCAAGATTTATCAAACAAATATACATTATTGCAAAAAACGCAAAATGTTTACCAACAACAGGAATCGAACCTGAATCGCACACCTGCAACCAACACACTTACCACTACTCCATCCCTAACACCCAGCGTGATTGTGCAGGTGCTACCTATTGTAGATGGTCTCATAGAAACAAGTGCCCATATCTTCTTCCAGGAAACCGCTTCGCAGATATGGAAGACAGATTTGAGTTTCCCATACCCAACTTGTTATTATGGAATATATCTTGTTTTGAATGGCCACTTCGAGTAAAAAGCATTCCCTTTAAGAGCATTTTTGAGTGATGACAAAGAGTTCCCGAGACATCAAAGCCGGGTATTTTTTTGAATGACTTTATCGATTCAAAATTGAATTGAAGTTGGCCCCATGAAAGAAGACTGCGGTGCTTATATAGTTGGCGAACTTAGACAGGCAGTGGCCAACTCTTCTCTCTAAGAAAAATTCTTCTGCTTCTGCCAATAAACAAACTTGTAGTAAAAGAAGAAAAAACAGCTGCATTTGATTATCAGAATTTCTTACTGCTGTTTTTCTACCTACCTATAGTTTTCAGTTTTCTACATATTCTATTTCCTTCATTTTTGCAAGTTTATCCTGTATTTTTGTTCCTTGTTTTCACCACATTTTGACATATTCAACAATTTTCAAAGTTATAATCTCATGAATGGGTGGTGATAGATTTTTATGGAGCTTTTTCCTTCAGAAGAAACTTGCAGCCCACCATAATGTTGATTGAGCAATTGCTATGTCTTTTATTTTAGTTGATCTCGCCATTTTCGTGTGCCAGACATTCAAAATAGAAGACAACTTTATCTGTAAAGGAATTGTTGGAGATTTTTCTGTATGTTTACTTTTTAAATGAACACTTGTAAAAGGTTCTACTTACTAATTGCTGTTTGAATTCCTTGAGCTAAACTTTCCTTAATCAGGACGAGTTCATGTACGTTTTGGGACAAATCATAGTGGAACCGCATCAAATCTGTGGATTACTTTTAGATGGTATGGAGCTGAGCAAACTCTTTAAGACCAAATTCTTCATTTTCTTTTCAGATTGTGGAAAGTTCATTGATCCACTGAACTCCACCTGGAGTATTCCAATACCAAGTGGACAGCCAACACCCATTGACAAGCAGCCTGTGCCTGTACTTGCTATACATATGTTTATGCGAAAAGACAAAAATATGATTTAAATTTTAGAATGGGAAGCCTATATTGAAAGCTTTGCATCTGACTGACATCCATCTAGACATGCTTTACACACCAGGATTGGAAGCCCAATGTGCAGAACCACAGTGTTGTAGACCTCAACAGAATCCCAGTGTATGATTTCATAGGAATTAAAATTGAATTGGCTACTCTTTAATTACTTTGAAAAAGCTCCACATTACAGGAAGTATCCATAGCAGCGAATGTGAAGCAACCAGCCGGCCCATGGGGAACTGTTGGAAATTGTGATTCTCCTTATTGGTTGCTTACAAATATGCTCGCATTTATTCAAAAGAATCACAAGGATGTGAGAGTTTGTAAAAGTCTGCTTTTATGACAAATGATTTATAACCTATGTTAGCTGGACTACGTCATGGTTTCCGGCGATCTTACCTCTCATGCTGATTGGGACTACACTCGAGATTCACATGTGGCCATGGTGAAAAACATCTCGGATACGATAAGATCGTAAGTGTAGGCATATGGCGGGAGCTCTTGATGATTCCAGAATAAGCGACTTATTAGTTAGTTAGTTCACTAGAGTAGATTTTTTTTCACCACTAATAGAAATGAACGTAGTTTCTTCTCACCCTTGAAATTTGACACTGCTGAAATCCCTTTGTCCTCCCCTCTATTAAAGGTTTTCGAAATGATTGTTAAGATAAGCAAAGCAGGTGTTCACATATATTATTAGCGCTAAAAAAACTGAATGATACTGGATCATGAGGCCTACTTTAGCCTTTCAAAGTTTCTGGCCTTTGATGTTATTATCATAAGGTTCATAGAACTTCATTAGGTCTAAAAATCAAATTTCATTAACTAGTAAGTAGATTTTTCCATGCCTGTAACTTCAGGTCAATCAGGCCGCGATCCTGTAGCGTGACCTTTTTGAGTCATCTCAAGTAAAAGAAAGTTTGGCAACATCTTAAATCGTTGCTAAACAAAAATGAGTTTCAAAGTAGTACATTGTCTAAGTTAAAAACAAAATTCTTTCCAACTTTTCCTTTACTGAAAAGACTGTCATACATATTATTCATTTCGTTTCTACCTTCCTTTCATTTTAGTGCAGAAAAGTTTAGGTGTTTTTTTTGAACAAACGTTGAACAATATTAAGAAAAAAATGAATGGCAAGAATAACGGCAAGGACCGTCTTCGATACACTCAAAGATTTGCGCAATGTTTCCTACTCAAAACATAGTTTTCAGATATTTTCCTAATATCCCAACTTATTTCGCAGTGGGGAATCACGAGGGAGTGCCTATTGACAAGTAAGTCAAATTTCTGATTATTTCGAAAGGGCATACAAAAACTTCTATACTGACACAAAAATTTCTATACCTCTAGGACTAAATAAATTCTCAGTTTACTCTCAGCTTCGCACCTCATTTCACCCCAAAGCAGTTCCATATGGACTGGCTTTATGATGCAATGGCGGATGCTTGGACTGGATGGATTCCACAAGATCAGGTTAAAACAGTAAAGTAGTGAGTTGAGGACTTTTTCGACTCCGTATTTGTTAAACGACTGCAACATATTTCAAGCATGGGCTGCTATATGAAGAAAATTTATCCTGGTTTGCGACTTATTTCCATCAACAATGCTCTTGGTGGTGACTCAATCAACTTGTAATAGTTCATTCTATTCGCGATTTGATGTACTAGCTATGTAAATGGCGCTTATTCAGCTTCCTTTACGTGAATCAAACAGATCCAGATGGGACTTTAACATGGCTCATCCAACAACTGCTAGCTGCTGAATCTGCTGGCGACTTTGTTGGTTTGAACATAAGCTCGGACGCGTACACTTACTCTTTATGTTCTCACTTTTTCGCATTTTCAGGTACAAATAGTGGCTCATATTCCTGGCGGAGGAAGTGAAGCTTTGGAAGGTTGGGCTTTGAACTACTACAAAGTGATAAACAGGTGTGTACACTAGGGAACTATAATAAAACAAGAATGGCTAGTTTACCACTTATCAGCCAAAGGTTAATTTAGCGACCTTTTTTCTTTGACAGCAGTGCCTTTTTTCTCAGTCTCGCTTACTCCTTTTCAGATTCCAAAATACAATCGTCGGCCAATTTTTCGGTCATACACACTCAGAGGAGTTCTACGTCACCTATGAGGATCCTGAGTCGGCCTCCACACGCCCAACCAGTGTCGTTTATTCAGCACCTTCTCTTACTACATATTCTGAATACTTCCCAGCCTACCGTATCTACAAAATCGACGGTGCCTATAAAGGATCGAGTTATGTGAGCATTAAGCTTATAGGTTCGCCTTAAAACTCTAATCTTTGATTTTCATGAATTTAGCAAGTAATCGACTTTGAAGAGTGGTATTTCAATATCACTGAAGCGAACGCTGATCCACAAAGTCCGCAATGGAAGCAACTCTATGCCAGTGTGAATCAGGAATACGGTATGCTGTAATTACTTTATTTAAGCTCAAGCCAGATCATTTGACTTTGTCAAGGTCTTAACTCCCAAGCTCCTTCGGAATGGAGCAACATGATCGAACGGATGAGAACAAACGATGCTCTTTTTGAAAAATACAGGGAGTACGTTGAATGAAATGGCTTCATTCTGCTATAAAAATAAGTTTTAAGGAATTATTATCGTCGCTCTAAGTACGATGGCATAGGCAACTGCGATGAGAAATGCAAGAGAGGGTGGCTGTGCAGCGCTCGACAGATGCATCATTCAAAAACTCTATGCGCTGATCTTGGATGTGCGTATAGACTTTTGATAACAGAGCACAGAAGTCGTAATCGTGTTTTTGAAATTATAATTTAGCCCTCGTAGAAAGGCAAGGTCGTAACAGCTATAGACGCAAAAGTGTACCGGTTCATCTCAGCAATGAGGATATACGCCAAACTGTTTTAGCCTGGAAAAGTCGTGCCAGTTCCGATTGCCCTCTGTAATAAAGCATTAATTGATATATTAGATTTGAAGATCACTATATCACTGTGGAAAAAAATCTTTCTCATCAATCATGTGCTTATTGGCATCAAATTAGTAGCGTTCACATGAGGCTTTACCAAAGACAAGAGATGTGTTCGTGTAAAAATCTACTTTTTAGATCAGATTATGACTTTGACCATTCTCCCCTAAATCACTAGTCTCTTGGCCAATTCTTGCTTAGAATCAGATCCTGTAGAAATGAGGCTAGTCGTTGCTCAAAATCCAGAAGTAGGGCAAGAATAAAATATGAAAATATACCTAAGCTAATGCTTTAAAACAAATTTTTGGGTTCCATAACCCAAAGGCATAATGGTCGATAATGGTTTTCCATGCGAATGAAAACACCGAAGCGTCCATGTATCCGTGCCATGCTTCAGTAAATCAACTTATTTATGTTTTAAATCATGGTGGTGAGCGACGAGTAACAAAGAAAAAGCTCGCTGCTCTCTGATCCACCCCCGTATGCAGCTCCGCCCCGGCGTTGCCCTGCCCAGTTCAGCTGGCCTATTTCATTAATACAACATTCCGCTGCTAGTTTTCAGTATCTTATTGATACTGGTTGAGAAACTGTGATTCATTCAGCGGTATGGGACGACGTATTGTATGGCGGGATGATGGTCCTACGTAAGTCAAAAATGCGTCTTGTATACTCTTCCATTTATTTCTTGAATTTTATTATTCGTGGCTCAAGCTAGCTAATTGTTAATTTATGACAGTTTAATTAATTGCCTTTTTACACACTCTTTGCTGGTTTGGTAAATTGCATACTGCGAGAGATGTCATCCCAGCTGCTGACTGAATTTAAGCTTACACTAATCAACTATAACTTAATTTTCAAAATTATATACATATTTTAGCTAGCTAGACCATGAATTCAAAGATACGCAAGTTTATAAAATTCGT